CAAATAGCAAAAACAATAATAAAATAGTATAAAATGATAATTACATTAAACAATAAATTTTTATACAGGTATGTGCGATTGTCCGGTATATACGATCAACGCCCACACTTCACCCTTTAGCGTTCTCATGGTGTTCTCTACTACGTCCTCCTTACAACACACAGGGCGCACTGCGCTATAGGGAGCGCCGTACTTTTTGAAGAAAATCTAAGACTTTTAAGTGCGCCTTATGGTCGTGAAAATACGGTACACGGCCCAGCCTTCCCTCTCCTTGTGCATCAGTGAGTCTTGGTTACCCATGACCCTGTCACTGGTTCACCACTATTCTTCTTTGGAACACTTTTGATAGATACTGAACACTGCAGACCTGGAACATGAAAGCTGTAGTGTTAGAGATGCTCTGACCCAGTCATCTAGCCATCACACTTGCTCAAAGCTTTACACATACTCATATTTGCTGATTTAAAAAATCAGCTTTGAGGACAAAATGCAAAAGCAAACACAAACACCAAAGCACAAGCACAAAGAGACTTAGCAAAATCAACACAGGGATTTTATTTTAGAAACATGAACGGGTAGAAATCAAGGCTGAAACCTGACTGCTCATTACTGCCTTGGTTACCTGTTGAAGTTCAGGGTCTTTCTGTTAGGCTGGGGTTGACTTTCACTCAGCTTTAACATCGCTCTGGGTGCTGGTGCACAGACATGCTTAACTGGGACCAGTGGATTTTCTATCCCTTTCTGGTGAGGTCATGAACGCATCCACACACTTTCCCAACAGGTTATTAAACCCGAGCCAATCTGTCACCACAATTAAGGGATGCATCCAGTGTGAGCTAACCGCAGCCTATGGGATATTTGTTTATGTCCCCATTAGGGGTGGGCGATATAAACGATATACGATAGAAATTATATAAATTTGGCCAACGATAGAGATTTTGACTATACCGCTCTATCGCGATAACGCATGTTGATGATGTCATCAAGCTGCGCCTGTTTTGGTCGAAAGCATCGCAGTGTCTACAACCATTATCATCTGCAAATTATGGCGGGCGACAGTCATAGCAAAGAGATGAAGCACTTTTGAAATATGGGGAAAGCCAAAAACTGCGCTTCCTCCACTTCCGTAACATTGATTCTGTTAGGATGCCTGGGTCATTGACCCAGGGTTTTTGAGTTTATTATATTATTTATAATTTCTAGTCTTTGGGTTTTTGTTAGAGTCATGTCTTATGGTTTGTCTCTGTGTAATCCTTAGTTGCTGTCTCCCCTGTCCGCTATATCCCCGTGTCCAGTCAGTGTCTGTGTCTGCCCTGACCACCAGAATCCCTCACGTTAACTTTTATCGAGTGGAAAAAAAGTTGGCGTTCATCCTCCAGCTTCACTGTGCTAATGTTATGCTAACATAGCTGTGTCGCTAGCAATCACGTAGCACAACATTATATACCAGGTAGTCCAACTTCAGTAACCCTGCAAACGCCACTGCTGTTTAGTTTTCTGTCTTCATTTATGTTGGAAGTGATAGCAGAGCTGTACGTTTGAATTAGTTTCAAAAATCTCTAGTCAGAACATGGTATGAAATGTTTAGGTGGAAACTAGCGAGCTAACTTCCTGTTAACTTCTAACTCCGTTAAATTTAATAAATTCTGTTTTCATGGATGCCTGGATGTTAAACTTAATTGTTACACCCGATAAAGCAGCAACGCTGATGATTTAATTAAAGATGAAAGAATTTAGACCGTTTTTAACTCTCAGTGTTCGTTTGACTTTGGGACCTGAAGCGGAGTTTTGGACCCAGATTACTCCGTGAAGCTCCTCACTACGGCAGCCGTAATGCTCTGACAATCCATCAAGCAGTGCGGCTTACCAAAGTTGTACTAAAACATTTTTAACAGATTTCTGCAGCCAAAATCGGTTCGAGGTCAGTAAGCACAACCAGAATTCATACATAAGGCACACTCTCGATTTTTGAGAAAATTAAAGGATTTTAAGTGTGCCTTATAGTGTGGAAAAATACGTTATACAGAAGAAAATATATCGTGATATATATCGTTACCGCACATGCTTCAAATTATATTGCGATATGGATTTTAGGCCATATCGCCCAGCCCTAGTCCCCATGCACTTACCTAACATCCACCCACTCGCTCTCCAACAATGCCACACAAGGGTATGTGCGAGCCAGGGTCCACCATAGCCTGTCCTCCAACAGCTGGTGCTGGTGCACTGCTGCCTGCTCCATGCACATGACGGACTGGGTACAAGAATGCCTGGGTTTCAGCATCACTTGTAAAGTGAGGACCCTGTATCCACAGCGTTGGAGATCATTGGAGGCTTTATTTCCAATCATGCTTTTCTAATTACAGTGCTGTCGGGATGCTTCAGCTTCTTCCCTCAGCCTGAGCTGCCGGCTCATGTGTTCTGGTCAGCCTCCTTCACACCACACCCTTAACCCACTACTCCACCTCAGCTATGAACATAACCAACAATTGAAATTCAAAATACTGAGTCGCCACTTTACCTCTTGCTTTTACCTCCTTACGCAGATGCAGGGTATATCCTGGACAGGTCCACCACAGCAGATGCACAAAAAGACAGACAGCTGCACACTCTCAAATCCACACCTGTGGAAAATTTAGTATAAACAGTCCCTAGCATTTATGTCTTTGGGCTGTGGGATAAAACTGGAGTTTCTGGACAGAATCCATGCAAGCCCACAGATGAACTGTTAGCTAAAATCAATGGACAGCTGTTATACTTGGAAAGCTTAAAGTAGGGGAAGAATTGCAGAATAAGGCTACAACAGTTACAGGCTAACTGCCAGCATAGTTAAAACCCATGCATAATATTACGAAAGCTGGAAGTGCAGGGTTAATAGTTAAAGTGTAAACAAAATGATTTGTGAGCTGGGATGGTTGGCCTTGGTAGATGCACGCAACCTTTTCCATGAATTTGATTAAAAATGCCATGGATAGAGCAACGTGTCTAAATAAAGCAGTGAGAGCTCAGGGTGAAAAGTAATTTTGTTCCCCTATGAATCAAAATGTAAGTAAATGTTTCCGCCTATGCGCATTCACTCAGTTTGTACTACGGCTTAATGTTAATTGATGCAGAGAGACGTTAATCATCTGTTATGCAGCATACTGGAAATGACATCTCTTCAAAGTAAATGCCTTCAGAGACTCATCACATCAGAATTAATTGAGGTTGTTGAGTAAAACTAAAGCTCCTTTCACTCATGGACTTTATGCCGTCTGGAATCATTTCCAGTGCTGGAAATGCAGAAGAGGACAAGAAACAGGTCATCTTCATAAGTGTTTGTGATAAATCCTGTTGGGTAGAACGTTTAGAAACCAGAGAGGTGCTGCATGAAAAAAGCATTACTCCACCGAGAAATTCTAATGACTTTACTGCCACAAACTTGTTACAAACTATAGCTGCATTGGCACTGATCCAGTGTTGTAGTTGACACATTGGTGCAGGTATGCATGTCATGGGCCATTGATGCAGAGGACTCTGTCTTCATATGTTTTAGTTTATATTTGCTTGGTGTCATTTTAGTTCCTACGTTTGCTGTTTATGAATGTTATACCATAAATGTGCTGTTATGCAACTAAAGAAGTTTTTGTATGAAGTCACTTTATTCACGCAACCAAGGAGAAGTGATGGGCTATAATATGTGATCTCTCTTCACACAGTGGGACTGAACTGAAAAGGAACTGACTTTAGCAGCTTGTCTGCCTCTGCAGCTATACTTAGTGTTACCATAGCAACACCTCCCATCTGTCACCAGCACATGCTTTTAATGACAGACCATAATAATATGCAAACCCACTCACAGCCAACGCAGTGCCACCATGGTAATGAGAGGATGGCTTGAGTTTATCTCATCAAACATATGAGGCCATGTGCAGTACTGTACCTTGATGTACTCATGAGTATGTGGACGGTTATATATTCAAATATATTCAGTAATTGTTGAGTAATTGTATATTTGCATATGCCTTATTATAGTGTAAGTTTAACAGTGTAGCTCAGTGTGTGTTGAATTAACCAAGTGTTTCTACTTTAATCTTAGCTCTGTGTTTGGTCTCCACCTACTCGTGTGCATACCTGTGCAGCTGCTAAAGATTTACCAGTTTTAACTTCTAATTTACTAAACCATGTAGGGTGATAAATTCAAACAGGCGATAAGATGCTTTAGCCTACCCACAGTTGTTACCCATCTGCAAACCACTTTGCAGACCACCTCCATCCAAGGTTCTCATGATGTTTCTGATCTATAATCTCTGATTAGCACTGATCCTTCATGTATTATGTAACAGACCTGTAACACCAAATACAGGTTACTGTAGAAGCAGACTTTAACTAGAGTGATTGTCCAATTCTAAATTGGAGATAAAGTATCAGAATTTCAGGAGCAGGACCACACCTCCAAATATGCTCCTTCCAGTTCTCATCTATGTATGTTCCCCCAGTTCTACAAGCTGTTCATTCTCATTTACGTGCCCCACCCTCCCTGCCTTGTTAAATTCTTTAGCTTCTTCAATTCTATTTAGTACATGGGGACCTGCCAGGCCCGGTCAGGGTCTTCCCCAAACCGCAGCTCAATTCTTGTCCAAGCCATTCACCTTTACCTACTAAAACGCTATCAAACCTCAAATGAGGACGTGGGCCCAGTGAGGGGAAACACATATTTGAGATACCAAGTTAAAACTGTGACTTTTCTCATAGAGAGTTACTCCCTGCTGTGTTTTCAGTGTTATTAACTGAGTAACTGTGATGTAGATTAAACCATTGCTAAGCTGACACGAAATTAAATGAAATTTATAATGTTAACAGCCTCCAATCAGAAGCAGCCTGTCCACCTCCAGTAACCCCCGCCCTTGCTTAAGTATTTCCTGTATATGCATCAGTAAGAAGAGCTGTTTTTCACTATCAGAACTGGTTAAAATGGCCTGTATTTATATAGCGCTTTACTAGTCCCTAAGGACCCCAAAGCGCTTTACATATCCAGTCATCCACCCATTCACACACACATTCACACACTGGTGATGGCAGCTACATGTAGTTACAGTGTAGCTCAGTGTGTGTTGAATTAACCAAGTGTTTCTACTTTAATCTTAGCTCTGTGTTTGGTCTCCACCTACTCGTGTGCATACCTGTGCAGCTGCTAAAGATTTACCAGTTTTAACTTCTATGCCACCCTGGGGCGCACTGACAGAGGCGAGGCTGCCGGACACTGGCGCCACCGGGCCCTCTGACCAGTTAGTGCACCAGGTATGCTTTCTTTTCCTTTAGAACCTCGTACTGGTAATCACAGCAGTGACAGGAGCACTTTCATCCATGATTCACACCAACGTCTGCTTTGTGAGATTCTGCAGGAAAGCAGTCCTGTAGTTCAGATAGCCCTCTTTGACTCTGTCATCCTCCTCTGGGTGTCACTGTGTGACATCCATGTGTATCCATCTACCTATTAGCCTGAACTCTCGCAGGCTTCCTTTATGCACGTTGGTCACTGCTGCTCATTGGAAAGAATGCAAACCCATAAGCCGTCATTGTTATCATATGAGATTTTAGTAGATTGGACTTTTGAATTGACTTCATGTTTTTAATCCAAGTATGTTTTTTTTTTTATTTCCGCTCCATTATAACCACAAAATGAATTACAACTACACGTATGTTTCCTCAGAGAGCTACGACTGGGCTAAGGAGGACAACACCTGAGCTAACAGACGCTAACCACGACAACGCTAGCTCCAGCAGCAATAACCCCGTCTGCCCTCCCTCTCCCCCACCGCTAGTCAGTGCAGTTACCATGGAGATGAGCTCATCAGCACCGCTAAGAGACATAGAAAGAGAGAGCCTTTTTAGCTGCTACAACCAGGAAGAGGACCAACTGTGTCTTCCTGGGGTCCGTAGGGTGGAAGACGAGGCTGTAGGAGGAGAAAATAGGAAAGGAGATGAGTGTGACTATCTCATTTTTGAGATGGGAGATGAGAAAGGAAGAGACCTCAGTGAAAGTGAAGGAGGAGAGGATGAAGGGAGAGGGGAAATAGAGGGAGAAGATGGAAACGAAAGAGAAACAGAGAGTGATAGCTGGGGAAGAAGAGAGACAGAGGGAGACGATGAAAGCAGAGAGAATACAGAGGGTGGAGAGGTGGGGGGTGGAGAAGAGGGAGAAGACTCAGGAACAAAAGAAGAGGATAGCTGGATCAGAGGAATAGAGGAAGAGGCAAAAGAAGATGTCCTTTCAGATCTCCTCTTCCCCTCAAACAGTCTGCTGTATCCTTCACCATCTGAGCCACTAGGCGCCACCTCACATCCTCTGGAGGCCGTGTCACAAGAAGTTTGGGGTCCCGACTTCACAATCAGGGATGACCTCAGTGACAGCCACCTCAGTGACTGCCTCCAAGCAGAGCGTGTCATCGTGTACTCAGACAGCGATGCAGGTGAGGACCAGTGGTCAGCTTTTGCCCCCTCTGACATCACCAGCCAGATCGAAGAGGAGAGGAAGAAAGATGCAAGATTTGAAGAAGAGGAGAAGGCCAAAAGAGAGGAAGAAGACAATGAAGTCAAAGCAGATGCAAAAAATCAAGCGCAGAAGAGAGAGGTGGAGGTGGAGGAGTACAGGGTGGGAAGAAAGGATGATGATGAAGACCAGATGAGGTTGAGGAGAGATCTTTTCCTACGGTCTCCTTCAGTCAGCTCCACAGCGAGCTCCACAGACCCTGACAAGAAGGTGAGTTTGCTGTTTATATGTAGCCTGATGCAGAGACACGGCGGTGTTTTCTTTGTGCTTTTAACTTGGTTCAACACTTTTCACCAGACATTTAACAGAGATGAATTATGACAACAAAAAATGTTTGCCAAAATGCAATAAGCTCCCCCTATCTCTAAAAAGAAAAGCCTAAACTTAAACCAGAGCAGGTACAGTATAGGCACACATGAGCTTTATAAACTTTGGTCTTAACAGGGTGCCTGTCAGTTAGTTCAGTTCAGTTCAGTTCAGTTCATTTTTATTTCAAACATTTCAAACATGTGCCTTCACAATCATTACAAAATATCATTCCATTATTTGTTTGAAAAGGAGTAGGCTGAAGTATTTACTTATTTGTCCCTACCCCCTCAAGTTTTACCTCTCATTCATTTAATTTTTTTTGTCTTAAATTAAACAAACAACATATGAAACATATGAAGTAAAGCAAAACAAAACAAAACATACATAAATCAAAACAAGAAATTAGCAAGCCCCACCACAGTATAGTTTCTTTCATATGAAAAATACAGAATGTGTATATTTGCAGATACACAAGTTATGGAAAAACAAACAAAACAAAACAAAACAAAAAAAACAAAAAAACCCAAAAAAGAACCGCAACACCATTACAGCAACATTACCCAACAGTACCCAATTAGCCAACAGTAGATGGAGCTGTGTCTCCGTCACTCATCTGTTACAGTTTCTGACACTTTTCATCTGTACCACCCAAAACTGCACTGTCAGTGTCTGATAGAGGGAGCTGCAACATGTGCAATGACTGTAAGAGCCTTGAACCCATCACCCAGCATTAGCACTCGTAGTTTGTATCAGAATTCTAGGACATTAATTCAAGCATCAACTAAAGCGAACTCTGCAGTTATAACACAGACGAATCTCAGAAGTATTCATTGCTGCATTATAACAAACATGTCCATTTTAACAAGAAAAGGGAATAAAGATCATCGCTGCCACCTTGTGTCCAAACTGTGCAACCACAGCTGAAAGTGATAGCATAGCCCACTCAAAGGTGACATGAAAAGGCTAATTTACACTGTGGATCCCTGCTCTCACATACTGTCATAGGTTTAACACTGACTGTGAAGCTGGATTTAAAAATACGTGTTTGAAGTTTTTAGAACAAGTTTAGCGCCGTCTTGTACCAATACAGAACGTGATGTCACTGAGTTGGTTGGTTGCTGCTAATAGACTTAGATTAGTTTCTGTTAGCTAACTAGTAACAGAACCATTAACTCATTAAAACTAAAACTCGGTCTATATCTATATCAGTTTTATACGAAACCAAGGACATGCTGTCCATTTCTCTCTGTCCTGTAGGGTTTTTATGAGAGAGAAGACAAATATGTTGTAAGTTTTCACAGTTTATTATGAAAACGGTTAAAATTTCAATGGACCTCAGTCTCTCTGGCTCAGAGACAAAAGGCTGTGTGTCTTTCTGCTCACTCAGGAGACCCAAATGAACAAAGAGCCCCACACTCAGACACTAATGCTTTTATTATGTGTGGTAAACAGGGCTCTAAGGTGATTGGTCAAAAGTTGGAGGAAAGCCACAGTTCTATTTATCGGGCTGAGATCCAGCACTTTGGCTCATGTTTTTTCTTCTGCATCTTTCTGGGCATTTCCTTATTTGGAGATGCCACTTCACCCATCACCATGGCAACCACCTCTTGTCCTCCATCAGGTCTGATGTATGGCCTTGTTGTCTTGTAGGTACTACAACCTCGTCCACACTCTTAATAATAAAGTGTGCGTGTTAGTCCCCATAGGGAAATAGTTCCTCTGCATTTAACCCATTCACCCAGTGAAGCAGTGGGCAGCCACCAATGCAGCGCCCGGGGAGCAGTGTGTAGGGACGGTACCTTGCTCAGGGGTACCTCAGGGTAGCCGTTCAGTGGAGCCGAACCCCTGACCTTCTGATCATGGGGCCACCACTCTACCTGCTGAGCTATCCCTGCCCTTGTGACGGGGTCTTAGTCTGTCGCTATCAGAATGAATCCAAAACTGTTCTGCAATACACTGTGAGCAGTATTAGACAAAACACAGATATGTGATGCTAATTATGAGACATTAGCCTTACAGATAGAAAGAAATCCCAACAGTCCTTTAAACAGTAAGTGTTTTTTTGTTGTTTAACTAACTGCACTGAAACTGGAAACTCCATCTGTTAACCTTAATGTTTGAGTTTATAAAGCACTTTATGAATGAAAACAGTCTGGAGGAGAGCCTGAGTCATGTGACAGATGGTTCACCTGACCAACACCTGACTGATATGCCCAGCCTGGCTGTCGGACTCTAGCTGAGTCAAAGAGTCACTGGCTGTTTGCTAACCCCACATTTAATCTCTCCCGTCAGGTCCCTGTAGATTTCTGCGTGCATGAAGAGACCCAAAGTGAAAATGTCTCTACTGAGCATGTGGACTTTCTTTTGGCCCGTCAGCAGTGGAAGAAGATGGAAGAAGAGGTCAAAGGTCAGCCTATCCCAAAACCGGGACTGAGAGCTCAGGGGAGCTTCCAGGGCACCCACTCCTCACTGTATCCCCCCACTCGCAGTCCCCGGCTCAAACACAGGTAAATCTTCACCCTGGAGTCTTAGTCATCCTCACCGTAAATATTTTCTACTACAGCCTTCGTTGAGGTTTCAAGGACTCAACCTAAAAATGCGTCACACAATTTATAGTGCTAACAGACGCTGTAGAGTGACAGTGGAATAGTTTTCAGGGCTCATGCCCAGCAGTAAAACAAAGAACAATGCACCACATTAACAAGATGAGTCCTTCAGCCAACATAGTACACTTAGCAAGTAGCTAGTACGCTGTAGGTTTCACATCCTTCTCAACTTGAGTGTGGTTTCCTCCTGTCCTATACAAGGGAAATTCAAATCCCCATGCCCAGGGAACCTCCTCTGTCCTCCACCCTGTCCCCTAGCTCAGAGGACTCAGGTCTGGATGATTCGTCATACCGCAGCACCCTGGAGGAGCCTGAGACTGCAGTGGAGAGAGAGATCCGATTGACTCTAGAGAGAGAGGAACGACACCGCAGGGAGAGGGGGATGATTGCACATGGCCTCCCAATACCCAGGTACAGCAGCCAAAAAGTCCTAGTCTACCACTACACACCAGCAGTAATTGGCTCTGCTGTATTGTGCAATCATGAAAACTCACATAGCAACAGAATGCAGTCCTTATGATCTCAAAGGCACTTAAATGCACCTAGACAGAATTTTCATTCATTTGAAAGCCTTGCCTCTCAACTGTCACAACCTCTGGTAGTAACCAAAAGAATGACATTATGGATACAAGCGGCAGAAGTGAGCTTTCTTCGAAGGACTGCTGGCCTCTCCCTTAAAAATAGGGTGAGGAGCTCAGATCGAGTGGTGCAGAGTAGAGCCGCTACTCCTCCGCATTGAAAGCAGCCTATTGAGGTGGATGCCTCACTGGAGAGGTGTTTCAGACATGTCCTATAAGGAGCAGGCCCCAGGGCGGACCCAGGACATGCTGGACAGATAACAACTCTTATATGTTGTGGGAATGTCTCGATGTTCCTACGGATAAGCTGGAGGAGGTGGCTGAGGTGTAGAGGGAAGTCTGGGCAGCCTTGATGATGGATGGATGGATGGATAAATGATGGCTAGATAAATGGACAGACGGATGGATAGATATAAGGAAAGATGGATGGATGCATGGATGCATGGTTAGATAAATGGATGGATGGGTGAATGGATGGATGGTTATATGGATGGATAAAGTTACGTTGAAACCAAGCACACCATTGTTGTTCTTGTGACATTACCAATAAGTTTGATGTGTCACATGGCCCTCTTCCTGTTGAAAAAAGTTGTATCCAAGATGGCCGACTTGTAAATGGCCACCATGGTCACCGATCATCTTGAGGAGTTTGCCCCCTCACATATACTAATGTGCCACAAACAGGACTTTA